GCCTTATGTGATGCTTAAATTATGTCTCTGTTCCAGAAGGATTCATTCTGGAGAGGAAGTTTACTATTATTTAAAATTGGAGTTTATGACATGTAATATCTGCTATAGTTAAAAAACAAAAATAAACAAACAAAAAACCTAATTAACCTCTCCTTGTATAAGTTAGTATACAAATAAGGAAGCTGTAACAGCACAGTAGGTGGTTTTAATGTCACATCAAGTTGTTCAGCGTTTATTGTGCACCATGACTACCCCTAGAAAATCTTAAGCATGTTAATGGGATGAAGCTAACAAGTGATATTCTCATTCTAAATATAGTGTTGTGATTTCTTAGTATTAAAGGAAATAGGTTTATTATTATCCTGGATAATAATTCAAGTTACTCATCAGAGAGGAGTCTCTCACCTCACGGTTTGTGGGTCACCAACAGTCATTAAGGCTGTCCTAAAATTCCCTTTCTCCTATTTGGTGCCCAGAACAAGAAAACAAACTTATAAAATGGAAGAAAATGCAAACAACCTATTTTAAATGTAGTTGAAGTTTTAATTATTTGCAAATCAAAGTTACTTGGGCAACATGCCAAGAAGCTCTAGTTTTGTTTTCGTTAGAACCTTGCAGAAGTACAGTGCGAGAAGTGCCACAATTTCTGTGAAAGACTTAATTACATGAAGTATGTGCTTGCTTTAGAGCTAAATTGGGTATAACTGAAATAAAAAGTGAAAATTTGAGATGTTTTGGGTGATGCCTTCTATTTACTTGTTTGGCTTCTTTATGCAACTATACCCATTAAAGATAAAAGCGACTCAGTTTCTCAGCTTCTAATTGTAATAGCCTGATTAGGAAAATGCAAGGAAAATATTTTATAAAATGCACTCCGCTGTGGAATGGAGCTCAGTTCCTCAGAAAATCTTGAAAAGTGATATCTGCATAAGCAAGTTTGTCTATATGTACATGTACGTACACATTCATTCTGCTTCTTGACAACAAATGTTGCAATTACATAATCTAAAAATCCCAGGATTGTGCTGTCATTGCTGATTCTTGGAAACCTATACCTATAAATTTGCTGTTGATAACCAATGGAGAATGTACCACAATTCAACTAAGTAGTTCTGGAGGCTGTAGATGGAAATTTAGTGCCAGCCCACTGTGCTGCTTGTCAAGGATGGAAAGACAAACAGACCAAGAATGTGAATTAAAGGAAAGACCCTAAAGCCCAACATGCAGAAAATCACACTCCTGAGGAAACTGATGATATCATCTGTGATAAGCTGTGCTGACACTACCTGATTTTTTACACTGTCTCAGGGGTGTGGACTAGTCTCACCAGTCTGCTTCTTGGAGGCTTTTTGCTTCTTCCAGAACTACAGAACTACAGCAGGAAACAGAGCAAATGCCATCATCTCCTTGGCCCAGCCTTACCACCAGCCTCATCTGAGTACCAGGACAGATGTGAGGATTTTCACACCAAGGCTGAAGGACGTTATCTTGTACAGCACTCTACAACCAGACCAGGCTTCTTAGGGAACCTAAGACACCAGGTACCAAATCTGCAGATTAAAGGATATGACTGTTAAGATGGAAACAGTTCTATGTCTTCGAAGCAGTAACAATTTAAATATACAGGAGTAACAATCTTTGCCTCTACAATTTCCAAAGAGAATAAGCAACAATTTTATGAACTGTGCCCTTGTGTCCACATGTTCTGATTGTACCCAAGACCCATTTTAGGACAGCAGAGTTTTTGCAAGCTGCACTTTTGCAGTCAGATGATCAAATGTCATCCAGTCTTTTTGTGAACCTATGTCTAAGTCTGCTGAGATGAGGGCAAGCTCCCAAGGAATAAGAGAAAAACTAGGCAGGTGAGCAAGCTGCTCATCACATCACTAGAAATCACCTGCAGCAATGCCAAACTAATGCATTCAGTCCTCTCTCACTTCCAGTGTAAGGAGAAAGCTAACTGGGAACTCCCAGGCTGGTTGTAAGGTACAGATGAACACCTTCTGAACATTAAAACACACTAAAAATTATTTTACTTGTTGCTGAAATTATGGATGGACATTTGCATCAGAATAAATCAATTTCTACGCTGTTCTCTTACACTGAGGATTTTCGCATCTGACAAATAAATAAAGTAGTTTCCAGAGGCAAAACGTTTGTGAAGTTAGATGAATATGCTGCCAAAGAAATAGTATCTGTTTTTCCCAGTCCAGTTGAGGACTAAAGTACCAAACAGGTGCTGTTCTGCATGGCAGTCTGCGTGAGCGTTCTCCAAAGACAATCCTTAGCCAGCACAATTTGCAACTGGTGACAACAAATTGAACAGTATTTACATGATTTGCTTGACTACATCTTTCCATTTGCTGTCCTGTCTTCATCCTCCCAAGCATCATTTAGTAGACAAAACATAAGCTTTGCCAGTGAACAGACAAGGAAAGAATTAGTTGCTTCCATAGATTCCTACTTATGCTATTGCACATATGATGTTAGAGAACTAGGCACACAACTATTATGCTTTTACAAGCACTGCTCATTAGCTTCACTCATTTCATGGCATTTTCCAGATATATGAATAGCCAAAGTTAATTTGTCAAATTTGTTAATTTGTCATAAGACTCAAAAGAGGACAAAAACTAAAAACATATTCCCTATAAAGATATAGAAAGTTGATTTGTAAGAAAAGAACTAGATTAGCAATCTCCAGTGCTCTGGTTTCAACTGATACTTTAGCTCCCTATACTTCATTTTACCCAACAAAAAGAAAGGCAATCACATGAAAACAACAGCTTGTCAGTTCAAAATTATTAGGAGGAATATTGTGGCTACCTGACACAGACATCAGTTTTCGTTTTGGGCAATGACTCAGATCACACACAGGTTCCACTTCAGAAAATGAGGGATAACTCCACCATCCCAATTCTCTCCTCCCACAATGACAGCCCTCATAGTTTCTTGTTTGTTTTTTTTCCTGCTCATACACAAGTCCTTTTTATTACAGCATTAGTTAAGCAACACAAGTGTGTATGCCCACTACCAAGCAGGATTCTCCACGCATCCTTTTTTGCTTTATCCAGTCTGTTAGTCAGGAAAATGACACTGCAGGTCAGGAAGTCTCTACATCACCCATATTTAGTATTTTCAATCAGAGCCAAATTAAATTTTGTTATCTCTCCCTAATACAAGGAAATTGTGACAAAATGGGAATTATATGATATATTAAAAACAAAACAACAGAAAACCATCATATTCTTTTGTCCTTTCAAGGAAATAACCAAACATGGCTACCTACAACTGGGTGATGTGAGAAGTAACGTAGACCTAACTTGGAAAGTCTACACAAAGCAATAAGCAAAGAAACTGCCATTAAGGGTTTCAGCCACGTTTGCTCCCTGCTGTATCAATCACACCCCAGGCACACGTGGCTAACTTATCTAATAAACAGATTACAAAAACCCATCTGACCCCACACCATGTGGACATGCTTTCTTCACTTCCACTGTATGGAAGGTGATACTGAAAAGTTGCCATGTGAGTCTGCCATCACCCCATGCACTGACTAAATGCGCTATTACACATTTTCTGACAATTATCATCTTCATTAATGAAGGTAAAGTCTATCCAAGACACATTCAATTTTTCAACTCCCAAGTTTCACAAAAGAACTACTTCTGAAGAAAAACATTTTAAGAGAATTCTCTAAGCTTGTAATGTGTCAGAATTCAGTAAAAATGCACTAAAATTGAGACACAGCTGTAAAAGAATCCAGTTTGTTTTTAAATAGTCTTAAATCTTTAATTTCAACAATAAATATAAACATCCAGTGCACTGTTAACCAACTGTGCAGAACAAGTACATATGAAAGCTGTTGCACACTGTATCTGTTGAACCTTCCAGAGAAAGATGCATAAGAAGTGGGGTGTTTTTGTGTGTGTTTTCTGCTGGTTTGTTTTGTTTTGTTTTTCTGCGATGCAAGTCTTAGGATTTCAGTTTTTGGTACTGGATTCCAGCAAGTCTTTTGCTTCATTTATTTTTGTTGCTAAGTAAGGAGATCCACCTGGGAAGAAAAAAAGGCAGAGAAATACCATTTACATGTTTTTGCAGAGCACCAAACAACTTCACTTACAGCATCCCTTTATCATTCACTTTTATTAGCTTTTCCTTCCTAAACAGATGTTTTTCATACAGAAGATTAAAATGTGGCAACGACATAAAGCAAACTAATTGATAAGGTAGCATGAAGAATGTAAACAAAACTGAAGTTGCTTAAGAATAAAGCTAAGCAATTTGTCTTGGAAAGAAGTCTGAGATCTAAAAGCATTTCACACTGGTGTGATTTAGATTTGTACTGCAGCATTACTGCAAATGTATGCAAGGTCAGCTGTCTCAAACACTCATCTAAAGCTGATAGCTATTATGTCAACCCACCTCAAAAACTAAGAGGCAACATTTTATAAATAATTTTGACAAAATCATCAAGCATGTGCACGCATACTCCAAGCCTCTCCTCCTCTAGACACCCAGAATTACCAGGCAGAAACTGTCACATTAAAGCTATTTAAACATGGTACGCCTTCTAACTTCTAGTCCTGAACACTGTTCATTGCTTTACGCTCCATCTAACAATTTGATTACAGTTCAGTGGTCTTTTTGTGTTTGTTTTTTAACTCTCCCCTTGAGTGCCAACCATCTGCCTGCAGTCACTGACAACAGCATTACAAGGTCTGTATCAGTAGCTTACCACTTACAGGCATGCACCTATATATCTTCATTTCTTTTTTACATAAAAACGTGATTGCAGCAATACTACTCAGCACACTAACCAGCCTTTTCCAAGGGGGCTGCTCAATCGTAACTCTTCATTCATCACAGAAGACAGTGATAGAAGACACACAGAAGAACTAGCACTAAACGCTCGTAAACACAAAGACTTCTTCAGGTCACTTTTGCAGGAATCCAAATCATTCTAAAGTCAGTTCATAGCCTAATAAAACAGCTGGAAAAAATAACGGAGTTCAGCTGTCTTGTTCATGCTCTGTTTTGCTTGAATGCAGTCCTAATAGCAAAGACATGTGAGGAAAGTGAGGCAGGGCAAGGACAGAAAATTGTCTACTACACTGAGTACTGCTTCTTTCAAAACCCTGACAAGAAGATAAAACAGTAAGGACTATAAGCTGCAATAAACTATGTATCCCAAGTAATTTTCAACTTTGCCTTCAGTTTCTACATTACTAGAGTGGATCTTAAAGTAAATTCAATTCAGTGAGAAGTGTTTTTACTATGTTCACATCCTGAAACACCCTCAAGTGCCATATTAATTTTGCAGCCCTCCAATGAGAGAAAATTCAATCTCATGATTGCTTAAGTGTTTGTTTATAATTAAAGCAAGTCCAAAAGGCTCATCTCTTCCTCTGTTTCTGTTAGCAAGCATTCTTTCACAGAATAAATAATACATATAAAAAATAACATACAGTATATCAATATAAAAACACTTTCAAACTGAACTGTGCAAAGGTTAATGAGCAACCATTCTAGTACTGCTCACCAGGGATGTTCTTATGCAAACTTCTATTAGTGATTTATTTCTAATCACGGTTTCTTCATTGTTTTGAATCTCAGGTAATACGAGTAACTTTTCAAATCTGTATTTATTGATCTTTCTTCTACCAACGCCAGCTGGTAGAATTACATTCTAATGTTGGATATTGCTTTTAAAAGCACATCTGTGCTACCAGAGCCAGAAGAAATGAAGTTGAAAACATAACCAAGCAAATCTCTCTGCAATGCCACATGTTCAAGATTGTTCTAGGTCTGAACTCTGCAGCTGAAGACATTAGACAACACTTCTCTCTTTGGCCATGACAGAAGAGCTGCAGGGGCAGCATGGAGGCACAAATCCCTTCACCTGGTGCTCCTGCAGAGAAAATGCTCCATCTTAATAGCACACAGGAGGGCTCACTACATCATCAAAAACTACACTGTGCCTAGCTGCAGGTGCATTAAGCTGTAAGAACTGGCCCCAAAAATGATCTTCGTAAGAGGAACAACTGCTTTTTTTAGGGGCAACTCAACATCCACATGGAACTTCACTACTCTGGCTCAATGGCTGCTACAAGAAAACTTTGAAATTCATCACAGAAAACTTGTGACCTCTTAGATACTCTAGTGGTTAAGAGGTCTCTGGCCATAATAATAAACCAGAAAAATCTGCATATATTTTAATGTATGTGTGTGTAACTTCTATTATTACAAAAGTGTAAAAAACAGAAGTGTGACATCAAATAAGCAGGAAAACTTTGAATTAAACCCAAGTGGTAAAGACAGTAAAACAGCATCCACTAAACACTTCACCCAGCCAGTGGTCAGTTACTTTTTCCATTCTTTTAAGATGGGGTAGAAGCAGGGAACCCTGCAATTCTCTCAAAAAGATACAAAAACCCCATGATTTTGCCTTTTGACTTCTGAAATACAGCGTAACTCTTCACCATCTGTTATTTTAAAGTAGAAACAGCAATGAACATATGGGCTTTCTTTCTCAAGCAGCTGTAGTGTAGTTAAAGTTATAATAATAGCCTTTCTATAAGACAAATTTACATTAAAAAACCTGACTAGTAAAGCAACAGTGCCCAGCTTTACATTTTTTTTCCAAGTGAATTCAAGGAAATCCGAAATTATGCAGAAAGTCCAAATTATTTTCCCACAGAAAGTTACCTTCCTCCACGTGAGTGGTCTGTCTCATTTCAAAACAGGAACGGGAGTTTAAGAAAAATATCACAGCTCATTTGTTTCATACTTTGGAGGAAGTTGGTTTTTGGGTTTTTGTTTGTTTGTTTTGTTTTTCCTATGTGTGTGGACCACTGGTAGTCCTACCTGAAGCAGCACCTTAAGAAAACCTTAAAGAATCTGGTTAAAGCTGTAGTTCATAAAGCCTGGAAATCAGCCTGCTTTATCTGATGCACAGAAGCTTAAGTCTATAAATAAACTTCACACAGCACGGTTATTTATATAATCAGTAAACTGAAAGGATCTCATTTAGGGCTCTTCCTTTCCAGCTTTGATTAAAACAAAGAAATAAATAAATATTTACCTTTATCAGGATGATTCAAGATCATGATTCTTCTATGGGCTGCTCTGATTTTGGCCTTGTCAGCAGATGGACTGCAAAAATAAATTGAAGTGCTTACCATAAATTCCACTGCATTCAGGCTATAAATTAGCGGTTTATACTGGCTTCAAAAATAATTAAAACTTGAGATTTTCCCCATCTTGTGGACAAAACGTAAAACTGCATCTTTGAGGAAGCAACACCAACAAAGGGATGTAAGTCACACCGAGGACATTTTTAAAAAGCCTTTGTATTTGACACGTGCAAACATCCTTCTGTTCCTGTTGATTTGTTTCTTTTTCCTTCAAACTCAATAAACCCACAGCCATTTAAAATACATAATTTGGAGGAAAAAAAGGGCTCTGCAATACAGATGGTTGGTATTCTTATCATCAAATGCAGAAAATACATCTTCGCTCCCAGAAAACAGGTATTTATACGACCAATGACAAAACATCAAATATTTAATATTATCATATTTTGTTCTACTGTAAATATTTTTATAGTTGCTATAAATACTTTCTGTTGGGGCCTAGGAAAAAAACAACTATCTGTTATTTTTTGCAAAGCTGTTCAACGTGTTGCATTCAGGGACATGTTGATTTACAAGAGCTACATAATGTTGTTTCCTTCAATGACAGATACATAAAATATGTACTCCAACTAAATTAAATATGTACCTTACCAGACAAACAACCACTTATGGATGCAATATACCGGCACAGTAGGCTCTGGTATGCAAAAGGACAGTTGGAATGACTTGTTTTTTTGTAATTTGTTAGCACACAGAAATGAAGCAGTGTTTTCCACTTCTTCATCAGAAATTACTCACTTCATTTTTCTGTAGGTAGAGTTTGAATGCAAGATATCAGCCTAACTCCCACAGTAAACAACCCCTCATTATTTCACTATCACAGGGAAATGAGGGTATGTTACAAAAATACTTCATAGAACATTTCAAAAGATGTAAAAAACTGCAAAGAAAGAACATTTCAATTGAACAGAGGAAGAATTAACCAGAAGCTTTGAACTATAAACTATAAAAAATGATTTCTTATCAGATAGCTAGAAATAAAATATACCCATATTTTTATTTGTAAATCAGCTGTTTAATAGTATTTTCTCATTGTAACAATAAAACCTGAATATAATAAAGCATTACTTCGAAATTCAGATGGGCAACATTTACCTGGAAAAGTTGCAGCTGCCTATTATGGAAAATCAAGCAGTTTTGTCCTAACAAGCAACTGCAAAGATTCTTTTTTATATAATTTTGATTAGTTAATGACATACTGCTCATCTGGCTCTAAAGACTGCTCTTTAAAACCTTAAATGGCATCATAAAAAAATACCTTCATGTCAAAATCATGCTCTTGTTGAACTGGTACAACCTCACAACCTGAGCCATCTGCGTCCTTGCTGATGGGCTTCTGTCAGCCTCTTCTTAGAGGCTGCCCAGCTCCTCCTGAACATCAGCCCTGCCTTCAGATGCATTGACCATTTCCACAAATGACAGACCTTTCAGTCAGAGGAATGTTGGTGAGGCTGGAAGGGACCATGGTGGTGGGGAGCAGGCTCATCAAAAGCCATAGTGAGGGGCTTGGAACCTGGCTTGTGAGGAGAGTTATCACACCCTTCAGAAATTTAGCATTAGCAATTTTATAGTAGTAAACCATTATTCTTAGCACATCTGTATTTTGCTACTGTAAAGCATTTTTGGTTTAGGTTTAGGAAAAAAACTTAATATTTTCACTTCCCATGTTATCTCAGACACTCCCCCATATTTCGTACCAACACTTCCTCCTACTGAACGTGCAGTTGTTAAAATTAATGCAGGTTGTATTGAATTTCAGCCACCTGTTCTTCACAGAATAAAACTTAAGATTTGGAAGAGAATAGATTTAGACTAATTATTAGAAAGAAATTCTTTACTATGAGGGTGGTGAGACACTGCAACAGGTTGCCCAGTGAGGCTGTGGATGCCCCCTCCCTGGAAGCATTCAAGGCCAGGCTGGATGGGGCTTTGAGCAACCTGGTCTGAAGGGAGGTGTTCCTGCTTACAGCAGGGGGATGGAACTACATGGTCTTAAAGGTGCCTTCCAACACAAACCATTCTGTGATTCTATGATTTGTTAACATTTTTAGTACCACGCTCTTTAGCTTTGGACACCTTTTTCTGCCAAAACCCTTGCAATTTTTGAATATGGTTATTACAGAAGAACATCTGGAATATGTAAAAAGTCAATGTACTTGACATTAAAAAGCCACCATTATATCATCAGAGGATCACAGAATGGCTTGGGTTGGAAGGAATCTCAAGGATCATCAAGTTCCAGTACCCCTGTTGCACACAGGGTTGCCATCCACTACATCAAGTACTAAATCAAGTTGCCCCATTCAAACGTTCACCTTTATCATGTCTCACGGTTATTACTTACAGAGCGTCCATACATATACCTGAAATAATGAATAAAGCCCCTGCTTAAAAATTTAGTATGACTTGGAGGTGATGACAAGACAACAAAGGATAGAATAATAAGATCAATCTCTAGACAACCTAGTTCTGGAGCCTGGCAGCTTTCATAACACTTTTAACACTCTTGGGTTATTTTGGTGGCCCTTCTACACATACACTATAGTAAACTGAGTTAGAATTGCCAGTAAGAGTTCTTTTCAAGCAGTGTGAGAACTTCCCATAAAGATATTAGCCACGCAGCTACACAATTAAAGGTTCAACCCTTCAAACATTAAGGACTTTAGTTGTATCTGATTATGAATGCTAATTGAAAGACTGAGCCCAAACACATCAAGCAGTGTCACTGTTCAGACTCAAGCTATTAAGATAAAAAATTAACAGGGGACTGATTACAGATAAGGGTAAATTTCAGACATGTACATGAGAGTGTTCAGGGTAAGCTGTAAACACACTTTAATGAGCTGCAGTGTGCTGCTACTCTGGAACATGACAGAATGTGCCCTTCCAAAGTAAGTGAAAATATTAATATCAACTCATAGGCCCGAGGATAAATTTCTGTATAACATTCCTATAAATCTGCTGTTCTATGTGCAAGCATGACATATTTGAAGGAAATGTGTGCGACCTGGTGTAGGGAACCTGCTTTGGCAGAGGGGTTGGCCTCGATGATCTCTAGAGGTCCCTTCCAACCCCTACAATTCTGTGATTCTGTGAAAATGTTATCATTTATTTTACAGATTCTTAAAATGAATGCCACATCTGCATATTTCCATTATGTCAGAAGCAAACATAATCTTGTTTGGCTGCTATTTCTAAGCCCCAGTTTTCACCACCTAACTTCCGGAGAGAATTCAAACCATCCTCCTTATTTTTTCCTCATCTTAAAATTAAGAACTAATCTAACTGAGAAAATCCACCACCTCAGGTCAGATCCGCTCTTCTCAGCTGGAGAGCCCTCAAACTCACCATTTGTTTTACAGAAAACACTAAGACATGTGCTACTGTTGGCCATCCATGTTTCTGAAAAATTTCTACTCAAAAATCTATTGATTCTGCAGCTTGGAAATAATTTCCTATACCCAATCAAAATGACAAGTCTCTCAATGCTTGGAATACGCTGCAACTCTTTTAATCCATACAAATCAAAGAGTATAGAAAGGAAAAAATGCATTGTATGAAAAAAAAAAAAAAAAAAAAAGCAAAATTGATCTGTTTTCCTTCTTCATCAGTATAATCTACAGTATTGCTCATTTCAAGGTTTTTATTGGAAACCAAGGCATGTGATTGCACTAATTAGCACAGTATGTGCTATTCTGACTATTTTAAGAGCACCAATTCTCCACTGCAGTATGTTACCAAACCTTCAAGCCAAACACGAGTCACATGTTCTATTAGTATTTTATTGTTTGCTTTCTAGCTTAAGCAGAATATTAAAATGGTTTATAAGCCATTACAAGCCTTTGGAAAGAAAAAAAGAAAGATTTTGGCTGGACTATTCTACGTTCTTGCAATATGCATTTTCTTCATTCCATACTCACCAAACAAAACCATATTAATGCAGCACGCTTACCTTACACCTAAAATAAGACTTGCTTCACGCCTACTCATTTTCTGCTCAAATCCTCCTTTATAGTATAATGAAAGACTCTAGAAAGAAAAAAGGCAAAACAAGCAATAATTAGTTTCATGTACGAGGTGCCATGACCTAAATCATAATTATTCCACCCCACTGAGAGCCTAACATTCATCTGTAACTTACTTTGGAGACATGGAACGAGTAGAAAACAGATAATATGAAAGGACTTCTCCTGGGTGTTAACACATACAAAAGCCAACCTAAAAATAGCTATGTGTGTTTTTACCATCTTCTAGTGCTAATCGGAGGTATTAATAGCTACAATCATTAAAATCCTGCCTTCAGGCAAAACAGTCCAGAATCAAAGTACATGCTAGTATAAAGTGATACCACTGTACGTGTTCGTGAGGGCAGGGAAGAGAAAGGGAAAAAGTGGTTAAAAATAGCTTTGGTGGCACTGAAATGGAAAATGGCAAGAGTGATTATGTTCTGGCATCCAAGAATTAGCAAGTGGTGACTTTAGTCACTGTTTGAACAGGAAAGGAAGAATAGAGACCAGAGATTAGGCTGAAAGTGTATTTGCCAATTATAAATACATCTTTAAATTAAAAAATAACATAAAATAAAGTTAATGAACAATTTTTAATGGTTAGCAACGATCTCCTAAATGCAAATCTTTCTTAGAGAAGAATAAGGGAGTAGTCCATTGCTACTCCCTAATAATAGTCTAAGATGCAAAATTTCCAGTGGCAACAGATGTAGCTCCAAAATGTAGCCTTTGGGAACTGGCACACAGAAATTACTGGACAAGATGGAAGTTTTTTTCTCAATGCAAACATGGGTAGGGGAAAAATAAGCCATCATAAGGAAGTCTAGTCTGAGAAGAGTTGAGACTATTTTTAAATGTTCCTTTTACCCCCAAGCAAAAGTGTGCCTGGCCCTTAATAAAACACTTTTCTCACTAGCTACTAAATATATCCATTCATATCCAGTGAGAATTTTGCATTGCATTTATACAAACTCAAGTAATATCAAAAGCTTTAAAGCATTTACAAGGGTCTCTCTATGATGCCGAAGCAAAGTGCTTAAGGTCAGGAACAACATTCACCCAAAAGCTTCAGAAATAATCAGGAATTGCTACCAATACAGAATGTCTCTGAAGGCAGCAATTCCCCAGAGATTTGTTGTAGTTTGCTACGGTCTGAAGCAAATCTTATTTTTCTTCTTTTCACCCCTGCAAATCATACATGAGATAATCATCTCTGTAATAATTCAGCTACCGTCAAAACTGATCTGACTGCAAACACATTGCACCTACAACAAAAATCTGTTGAGGAACTACTGCTACAGTTGCAGAGTAAAACAAAGCACATCTGTAATAGTACTCAGTAACAGCACAGGCTAGAGCATGGAATACTCAGGGAACGCAAATGGTTTCTCCAGTCCTCCAAGAGGAAACAATTTGGTGATTAAATGACCACCAGGTAATGTCCTTGAAGAGGTAAAACTGCCCAGAAATTTGCAAGGATACTGAACAATTACTACAACCAGGAGAGAAAAGGACGCCTAAATGCCTTGTGAAGTGTTTCCCAGAGCTTCTTCCAACAATCTTAAATACAGATAGATTTCTGAAAAGGTTAATTCCTCTCTGCTCTTCATGCATAGCACACAGCTCTAAAATAAGAGGACACTCTTGGTTCCCTCTTCATGTAGAGAAGAACAATATTTGAATTCTCTCTTAACAAAGTTCCTCTCTGTTCTTGGTAGATATCACTTAAATAGCTCATTTGATATCACGGAATAAGGAGGAATGGCTATAGGCTTAAATTCAGAAATACTTTTTCATGTTTGTAAAGCACTCGTCCTTGAAATTGTTCTAACTTCAGGAAGCTTTCATTCGCTTCGCTTTCAAGAGGAATGAAATAAGAAATTATGGTTTTTTTATGTCCTTTGGCAAATAAACAAATACGAACTTTCGAAGTCAGCCAGGGGAAGTGGTCAACAAAAAACATTTTCTTCTCAGAAGTGAAGCACAGGATAAGGATAATGAATTTCTTACATTAAGATCTTGATCTTCAACAGAATTTAAAGCAAAAATAATTTAGATGTAAAGTCATTGTTCCCCTTGGTTAGAATAGGGGGAAGAAACATCAAGTCTTCATTTTAGGAAATATCTCAGCAAATTTCTAGGTCCAAAATAAAGCAACTTTTCCACGCTATTCAAATTAAAATTGAGAAAAACATGACTTAATTTCTAGTAATGACTGCAGTGAAAAGAAACCACATTCAGATATTTTTCTGCTACAACTTCCTGATTTGCACACAGTTCCAGACACTATTATTTAACTCTGGCTATTGCAAAGAATTTTTGTACTGGAAAAATCATTAGAATGAGCTCTGCATTTCTTGCCATTGCAGAGGGGCAGGGGAGCTACCATTTAATTTGCCTCATTTCCGTGTATGCTGTCACTGTTTAGCAACTTATGTAAGCAAATACTGCTATTTAAAGGGTAAGGGGGAAACAGAAAATGTCTGGACTTGCTCAGCAGATGTGTATTCATTCTTGCAAATTTTAGCATTAGGCAGCCAGCTAAGAAAATCCTGACATCTTCACGATACTTTTTATGGCACAATACAGCAGAGGAGTGACTGTTTCCATGCAAGATAAGTGATATTTGCAACTGAAACCAGACATCACGTCATATTACATAAAGTGGTATTTGTTTCTGATAACCTGTGTGTTGTTTCACTACTGACATGATCAACTGAAGAAGGTAAACAATGCTGGAAGAAAAAAACAAATGCATGTACACACAAAATGAAAGACACGACAAAACACCTATTTAGAAGCTGTGCTATCATGTAATAGTAAAACTTGCTGATATCAACTTTAACTTCCTTAACTTCACTTGGAGAAAAAAAAAAGTAAGATGGACTAGATATTGTAAGAGATGATTGCAACTGTTAGCTCTTAATTCAGAGATCTGTGCATCTGAGCAGAAACAGATCAAATAACAAAAACTGAGTACAAACGTCTCCAGCAAAGCATTAAGAGAGCCTTTCTTCTGGAACTTGGAATTTTCAGGACTGTTGAATTTGGAGTTTTTAACAATTTTGCCTAGAACTGTTGTGGCTGTGGTTGAATTCTAAATACCATTGATTCAACAAAGAAAGGTATAGGTATTAAAATAAAAGGGGAAATAAAAACTAGGAAGTAAGAAATTAGTGTTATGATTGACAGCATTAAGGTCTGTCTGAGGAGAAAAAACAAATGACTGCTGTGACTACGTAACTCCACAGAGAACCAAAACCAAAACTGGAGTTAGTGGCACCAGTAACAAAATCGGGTTCAAGATAAAACTAATTTAGAAAAAGAAGTATTTCTCCAAAAATCAGCAGCATAATGACTAAGTTACAACAGCATTTATTCTTCATCATTAAGAAGTCTATCAATTTAACAGGCGTAAGTTAAAACTGAATGAGAGGTAGGAATTCAGAGCAAAATGTTACTTACTTGCTCTTATTTGCTGTTTTTGGTTATAACTGTTGACTGTGCATGTTAGTTATTTAGCTAAGTAAATAGTGTCAGATACTCAAGATCCAGCAAGTAGACATTTTAAATGTTCACTTCATAATTGCTCAACTTGACCTCATGTAAGTAATTTATTAGTGAGCAGGAGGAAAGGATAAACAGCATCACACTGTGAAACTGCAACTAACAAGAGCTGAAAGCAAGGAAGAAAAAAAAAGTTACTGCAAACAGGAAGAGAGAGTAGGAGCTTACAGAGAGAACCAGTTAGCTTTTAAACAGGCAGCTCGCTTCACAGTCTTCCTAAAAAGGGTGTGATGAGGGACAGAGTTTGATTCTGGAAAGCTAAGGTAAGCACTGAAAAACATAGTGACCAAGTGAGGAACCTTCAAGCACTACAGTGAAGTAGCACTAAGCCCAGACACTGACTGTCACAAATGATTCTTTCTCCTGTAAACATCAGCAGAAGTACTGACTGCTTGATTTTCACTGTCAGCACAGTTTAGAGAACACTATATTGTAAAGAGACATGATGAAACTGCTATCCCACAGTTTATATATAAGCAGCTTCAAATTCCCCCAAACAAAATCACGTGATGCTGCTAAAAGAAGTCTGGAAAATAAATACTTACCCAGGATCTTGGTATATAGAATTTTCACTTTGTATTGTTTTAGTGACAAATGACCAATAGGAAATAACTGATTGCTAAGGGAAAAAAGCATATTCCAAGAAGGTTGACCCGCAGAGTTACAGAACAGACAACCTTTGCTGAGAATTACACAAGAGTCTTAAATGTGAATTTTGATTGTAGAAGAAATAAAAAATTGTCATTACCCTCACAAATATAAAGTTAACAAATATATGTAGGAAGTGGTAAACCAAAAATAAGTTTTTACTCTATCTAGCAGATCTCATGTCTTCTGCTGTTCGCTGTATTTTCAAGTTCAGTAACAGAATATTCTGCTGGAGAGAAACATAGAACTCTGGCCTTCAAGGCAGGATATAAAGGCAGAAATAGATTCAGCTCCACAGACTAGGAACACTGAGAATTCAGAATCTCCTGTTAGTGAATTCTGCAGTACCTTGAAAGTCATCAAGGAAAACAGACTTGTAGTGAGACTGGCTCAGCCAGCAAAATGGTTCAGAGGGGTACAGTCTCCTAGAAACAGACACCTCTCTATGCAGTAGTATGTCATATTTCCATATGTTAAAGAGTCAGTGCCTGAATTCTTACATGCAAATGTCTAAATTTAGATTCTTTAGCCTGTATCTAACAAACGGATAGATGTGTTGGAGTAAAACTTCTGGAGAGGGAAGATGAAGATTGAAGCACTCTCTACTCTGAAGCCACATACCCTTATTGCTTGCTACTTCAAGCCTTTAAGTCAGACTGTATCCACATCACATAAAAGCAATTTAATTCACAGTACCTAAAGTCCCCCCTGTTGTTTTGGCAGGCAACATGGGAACCTCTCCAAAACTGATTTTAGAAAGGGAAAAACGAAATTGCTGTTGGTCTCACAGTAGCAATGCAGTACAGGGACAGGGAGTGAAAACTGATCCAGGAACACTCTAGGGAACCTGCTTTGGTAGGGAGGTTGTACTAGATGATCTCCAGGCATCCCTTCCAATCCCTGTGATTCTGTAACACCATATCTGGCTCATACACACTGCAACTGAGAATAAGTTTGGAACTGCCCCAAGAAAAAGACAACCAATGTGCAAAGAGATGGAAGTGCTTGTTTTCTTGTTCACATGTGAGTTGCAAACAGAGAAAACAAGCTCCTCTATCCTCTTGCAACCCATCCTGGAAGTTTATTAGATCATCTTAAAAATATACGAAATAAATGACAGAACATACAGAATAAGGAGTACTCCAATCCAGGGAAAAAAAATAAAAACTAAATCTAGCTGGCATTTGTGATATTCAACATAAAATGACTTCCTTCTAAATATTTGACATATAAATAGATTTAGCTGGTATCAAGTAACCTCCAAACTTACAGAAGTTGAAATCTTTTTTGCTGTCTCTGTAATTGCCTGCCCCAATGGCTTCCAAAGGTGGAATGCATAACGACCTGAAAAAAATGAAGTCAAAGGAACCATAAGTGCCATTTAAACACACACGTACACAAAATGTCTGACATCTGTTCATTAACTTGAAGCAGAAAGAATTTTGGGTTATAAAACAAAATTATTCTTCACTGTTCACCTTCTCATTCCGTTTATTTTCTGTATGGTACCTTTGCACTTTACTGCTTTTCAAGATATTCCCTCAATGTCTGGTTTTGAATCCTGCCCAGCAGAAGCCCTGGGTAGAAGTCCTGTGACAAACTTGCAGAGGTTTACATTTTTCAGTCTTCATACTGAGAGTGTGTGGGGAGGTAATGCACATAATATAAAAACATAGCCATGGTCTGCAAACATCCATTGTGTTTGTGCACAAAATAAATAAGATTTAAATGCATTTCAATATGACAAATGAAGTTATCAGCATTGTGAACTTTAAGATACAGTGCAGTAAGAACATTAGCTTTGGATATGCATTATTTATTAAATAACATTCAAAGGTTATGTCTTCCAAAAAAATATATATCTACATACTACATGTATCTTGATGTAATGTTGTATGCTCAATCACATATTTCGTACATTCTACATTTTATTTTCTTACAAAGAGAAGACCTGATGGGATTCAGAGACATTCAACTCTCAAATGGCAGTGAACATCTATAGCTAAGAAAGGGTACATGAATCTATATTAGACTTTGTTCTCTGAAGCACAAAGAAGGTCTACCAACTTCAGAATCAAAATTTGTACTGTTACTGGTAGCCTTCCCTGTAGGTTCTAACCCTCCAATTTTTGTTTTGATTAATTATTCATTAGGAATGTAATTTGTTATTAAATGTAATGGGAAAAAACATTTTTATAAGACATGGCTCTCCCTGACTCAAAGAACATCTTGCTTTCAGTCTTAAAATAAAGGATATCTCTGTAAGTTATTGTAGCCATCTACGTCTGTCTTTGCTAACACAGAAGTCAAAACCCCTGTTGGAGTACCATTGCTGAAAAGCTGTCATGTATTAATGACATATTACCTCACCTTCTTAAAGCTTACAATTACCATTTCATTGCTAGTGGTCACTACTAATTCAGCTTAACCAGCAGAAGAAATTCCACTTCTACTGTCTTCTGTTTCTGTATGAGGATATAGACATGAACTGGCTTCTTAATAGATGTGTACCACCAAATATCTTGCCTCTCCTTCCACTAATTAAAATAAAACAGCTGCACTCACAAAATACCTGCTGACTTTTTTTGCATTAGGATGAATCTATATGCATATGTACTTGGCGCATGCATTTGCACACAGCTGAGCACGGCTGAGTTTACATCCTGAAAGTAATGGAAATTGATTCGTGTATTTCAAAACTAGAAGAGACCACACTTATCCCATCTGAATAAATCAGCATGTAAATCACATTAAGCCCACGACCTGTGTTCAGAAAAACAAATCCAGACACAGAGTTCAGGGAACAAACAAGGTACTACAGGAACAGGTTAATATGATGTATAACCGTAACTGCTAAAATCTTTCATTCCACCCTGTTTGAATTTGTCAAGCACCACCTTCACAGCACTAGATCCTGCTGTACTCTTCTGTAATAAGGAGCCTCACCTTGCAACACCCTTTTATATGTGCATCATATAGCATAATCCTTTTGCACTATATTTTGCAGACAGAGAGCATGCAGAACCTTTTCACTGCTGCCCACAAAACAAGTTTCTCTAGCAGTGACTTTTTCAAAAAGAATTTTGGAAAACGTACCAAGGATTCTGAAGTGATGGGAACTGCAAAGGGACATGATTCTCCACAACAGCCACTTCCCAAGCGGTTTTCATAAAAACTTCATTAACCTCATTGGAAACAGCAGTAGGCAGATAAGTGGATCCACAGTCAGCTGGTAATTTAGCTTACCTGCAAATGCAACAGTTGCCACACCGAGTCCAACTGCTATCATAGATCTGGCCTAAAGCAAGAAAATAGGAATCAGAATGAATTGCACATTCTCATTTGGAATATATGCATCTTTAACAGTAAGTATTTTTGATGTCTGCTGTGGACATTTAATATATAATTTATATGAAATATAAAGTATGTATCTTTTTTCCAAAGGCTACATCAAATCTTATAGCACTGCCTCATTAACCTATGGCAGTGCTTCGGGTTTAAGTTGGATTAGCAAATCAGTGAATAAACACTAACAAAGTAACACCCAGTATGAAATAAAAAACACATGGCAGGCTCTGCTCAGGATTACTGGAATTTTTATGCAAAGACCATTTCAACGCAATCTGAAACAACGTTCACCGTAAAAGAAAGTATTAGTTTATCACAAAACCACGGGGAACAAAACAGTCCCATCCCACAGCTGCAGCCACAAACATTAGTGTCTTCCATTGTTCATCCCTTGACTCATGGAAGCCACAGTCAGACACAGAGCCTGGTAATCTCTTCTCATTATTTACTGTCAACCACTGTCTGAATGCTTAAATTACAGTATAAATATTTGTATGACAGTTTTCAGACAGTTTTCGTTATTGGCTTAAATTTGCTGTAGGTCTAAAAGTCTTAAATTTGTTTTAAGTGTCTTGCAACCAGACCCACAAAAAGATTTGAACATCTGATTCAGTAGTAACTCCTAACTCCTGCTAACTCAAAAATCCCAAATAGGGTGGGTATATTTTTCTCTGTGACGCCCTGAAGGTCTGGAAACTTACGAAGGACCATTGGAAATATCTCCTTGAGATGTTGAACAAGAAGCCTCTAAATGATATGCAGCCAAACTGACTTCTCAACCATTTCCAGAATTCAAGGATGAAGAACATTGCAAGCCTGAGTGTCTGGTGTATGGTACTATCTATCCATATCTGATAGTTTAATAACACCTTGAACTTCTCCCCAGGAAGCAAGAGAAATCAGATTAGGCCTGTTTAACTGGATTTCAAAACAAACACCAGTGAATATGTTTTTATCACCAGATTCATTCTCCTCTGGATGGCTTTCTGCTCTGCATTTAACCAATAGCTCATTCACAGATTTTCTGCCAACAAATCTGAGAGCGGAACTGCATGCCCAAATTTTGATGTGCCCCAAAAAGTAGATTTAGTGTCACATAGCTACAGTGGCTAAAACTCTTGTACTCAATCTCATTCCCAGGCAGAGTAAGGGAAGAGTTGAGAAATAGGGATTTTTAAGCTTTCTAGAGCTGCATAGGGGCTAGAGCACAGGTCAACAATCTTTCCTGCACTCAGGTGGCTATGCAAAATGGCGGCATTTCCACCACAGCCAGCAGCTCCTGTCTGGCTGTGAAGGAAGGTGACAGTCACTGCTGCCTGTAGCATTGAGCTCAGAACAGAAGCAGCAGCAGATAGAGATAGGACCATGAGGAATGGTTTTAAACTGAGACAGGGGAGGTTTAGGTTAGATAGCAGGATGAATTTTTTCACTCAGAGGGTGGTGATGCACTGGAACAGGTTGCCCAAGGAGGCTGTGGATGCCCCATCCCTGGAGGCATTCAAGGCCAGGCTGGATGTGGCTCTGGGCAGCCTGGTCTGCTGGTTGGTGACCCTGCACATAGCAGGGGGGTTGAAACCAGATGATCATTGTGGTCCTTTTCAACCCAGGCCATTCTACAATTGGGCTATGCTGACCACGAGCATAACACAGTATTGCAATTGCTGAGAGGCTTCTGGTATGAAAAAAAGAAAACAACAAAACTCTACACACGCTGGGAGTGGAGCTCCAAAGTTAAGACTGAAGGAGTTTTGCCCAGAGGTGCTTTAAAGTCACCTCTCTATTCTATTTTATCATAGACTGAAGTCCTGATATTAGCATTCATGCCTGGATGTAAGCATGTAAAAATAATGCAGTAGTTTAATATCTGTTCTTCCTTCCACTTGCACAGTTTCCCTTCCTCTTCAGGCCATGAGAAATAAAAGTATGCTACCTCAGATGGTAAAGGAAATAAAACAGTGAAGCACACTGTTCATCTCTTCATTAAAGTTTTCTACTTCTTCACACAGATCAGTTTTCGCAGGCTCTCAGTATTCAAATATGAAAACTCGATGAGATTCTTCTAAACCCTCTGTTTAAAGACTAACCCACAACAGCCACAATGCTTCTGGAAATACCAAAACTCTAAAGAAATTATGTATTATTCTGTTCTGTGGCTTGTGATCACGGATTTACGTGCAGTAGAGACTTTCCTTGACTCATTCAGACTGACTGTGAGAATCTTTTACTAAGTGTTTACAGTCAATTAAGAGCCCAACAACGTGTGAAATAGATCATATTGGAAAAAAAAAAAATATTTATTAGCCTGTGCTTGTCAAAATTTATTCTTGCCTTGCCACCAAAAGGTAGATTATGTCAGCTTCAGTACCTTGTCAGTTTACAACAAGGTACACTGCCACTGGTAAGAGACACCTCATCACAGCTAAAGGCAGAACGTTGACGTAAGGCTAATAAATGATACTTGGACTCCATCAGCTCTGCACAGAAGTTGCTTAAGTGTTTTTGCAGAGTGGTCTGTAAGCAGTGTAGATTCCCTGAGCACCGTGTCCACTGGGCTATATTATTTCAGCCTCAGTGGAATGCACAAGCAGTTACAGGAAAGCTAGTGAAAAACAGCACTTAAAAAAAACATAAGTGTTATAGTAGTTCTAGGATAGGAGTGCTAAGAAGGATCAGCAGCAATCTGAAGACCAGGCAGAAAAGTAGCTAACGTGATGGGGTGATCAAGCCACAGAGCCATGAGAGACTGCCCATGTTTACAGTGAGATAAAACTATCCAAAAAGCTGAGAAACATCAAAATAGAGCAACATCCCTTATTTATGTTAGCAGCAGGTTAGAAAAGAGTCACTTGCTATGTATTAGCCACAATGGTAACTTGTCACCTCAAAGCATCCTGAATGTTTGTTATAGTGTTATACTGAATACAGTGTGAAACTGAATTTAAATCAATAGAACCAAGATTGCACAGTTCATCTTTTACTACCACAGAGTCTCTTTTTAAGCTAATGGTAACTTCACTTATGGTGAAGTCCAGTCTGTCCCAGTTTTCTTTTCCATGCTCACTTAACTCAGATGATTATTTAGAAGGAGAAATCAAGGTTAGTCTGGAACTTCAAAATATACAGCAGCAAATTTTATTGTTACGACCATAAAGCTTTAATTACAGGCTCTCTTCTCATCAATATGAAAGGAAAGCAACTCGCTCTCGCATCTACCACCACCATGAGCTTTTTGACCTACACTGCTTTAACATGCATGCTATTTCATATTCAAAGGCTCAAAATATTAATAAACACTCACTGACTTCAACTATGGCAGAATTGACTTTTTTGGAGGGAGGGTGAAGGTGATTTAAAATTTTTTAAATATGTAGGTTTATACAAGAAAATATTCCTTAAGATCCAAGAGGGGAAAATGAAGAAATAGAAGATTAAAAAGCAACATCTGTCCCTTTCTTTATTCAGTGAATCAGCTCCCAAAGGTTAGTCATCAATCCTGTGCTATTGCTGATCTCAGTCTTTTATTATGAAGTTCAGTTTTAGTAACAAACCCTCTAAGATACAGATAACAGTAAAACTAAGTTTTGCTAAATCTGCAAAGTTTTGTTTTTTTCATCTTTAGAGAAATGTCTGTAAGGAAATACATCCACAAGACTTACCAGAGTATTTGGTAAACAAAAGAAGATAAAGCATATTGACAGACAGTATGTCTAAAGGTATATACCAGACACCACTTCATAGAGAGGTCCAAGAACTAATCCTTTAATATGTAAGTTTCCTGTAGCCTTAATCTTTTTAAGCAGAAGAAACTGGGAAGAGTAAGATATTCCTAATCCACAGCACTCTGCTTTACAACTCTCTTCTATAAAGTAGAAAAAAAGAAGTTATAAAAGGCAATTTCAAATGCATAATTCTAAAATTTCAGCACAACACTGTTACATCTAACAACAAGCTACAAGAACAAACTTCATAGTCATTAAAACATACCTGCCTGCACAAGATTTGGATTTTATACTCTGGTTCTTCTACTGCAGTCAGTGGAAACACCCTCCTTGGTCAAACAAAAAGTATTCTGCTTCCCTAATAACTAGATTTAAGATATACTGCTAGGGCTCTATACTTTTTTAGGGCCACAGACAGCTATAGTGAAATGGAATAAAAAGCATGTAGAAAAACAATTATTTGTTCTGATGGACTGGACAGCAGTTTGTTAGCAGTCCATGGTTAATTGTGAATAGGTAAAAATAGGGATGTATGTACCTGAAATAAGTAAATGCACAAATGTAATATGCTTAACTAGAAACTTCGTTATAAAAACATGTTTGTTTTTTAAACAGCTGTATGTATGCTGCTAAAAATTAGAACTCACAAGGATATTAACCAAGCATGCAGAACTATTTCCAAGGCTTTTCTCCCTTATTTAAACATTCTAAACCTCAAACACATGACTGCATCTGGCGTGGAAGTTACAAGAAGGTTGCTATTCCCCAGAAGAGTAGCTACAGTACTAGAAGGCTTCAGAGTTTATTAGAAGGTTTCAGAGCAAACCACCTAATTAGCTGTATATGGAGCTGGATGCACTGGGATTATATTATAAACTACCTGCAACAGATTTGATTTCATAACTTAATGCTTTCTGTCCATTCTCACCTCCCTATGAAGTTTATTTTCCAATAATAAATTAAAACTAGTTTCAGCTAAAAGCTCATCTCCATACACACCCAATTTTCATGTCTATTTACTTCATTTATTTTATAGTAACTTTCTGGTTTTTCATATGAAACTACTACAAACTTAAAAGTTTCTGACAATTTTTCACAGGGGACTCTACCAGAGCAGTAGATTCACTAGCAGAAGTGTTAATGCCAGGCATTCAACCAGCCTTCCTGGATATGTATTCATGATTAATGAATTCTTACAGCTGTCCTCACGGACTCTATGCCTTCACTGTTGTTTTTCTGTCACTCCAAACTTCTGAATGCTTCAGTAAAACAAGTATAGTTATCATCCTGCACAACTTAAAAGCAAAATTCAGTTCGGGAACAGAGCCGTTTCAGCCCTGAAGGTGACGTTTGTTATCCCATTTCATCTCTGCAACCATACCCTGTTACTCTGTAGCAAGATGAGGTATACTGGGCTTACATAGCAAGCCTGTGGGTAGCTGGGGAGCTGCAGCAGTGTCTTCTTGTGAACTCAGCAGCAACAGCCCCATGTCAGATTACTTAGAAGAGATGAAGTCATTTAAATTAATTTATGTTCCCATCTTTTGACAGTAGTCTCTAACCACCACAGAGATGCTACATCTCTACCCATACTAACCATAGATGAGCAGGTATGGCTGTATGTAAAAGAATGTAGTATCTCTACAGCGTCTGGAGCCTCATGGATGGACTTCCTTCCCTTTTTGCTACGTGGCTCATAATTACTGCTGCTCATAATCTCTGAAAAACCCCAGTTGTGAACCCCAACGCTGGTCCTCGCTCAGCTTCTCCCAGATGACGAGCTGCCAGGAGAGAGGGACTTTTTTCGCTGAGACTTCCACAGAACCAGCAGAAATTAGAGCCTGCTCTAATAGAACTCACGCAGTGTGGAAGGGTTTGACATCCCCCGTCTCCCTACGGTAGGGAAGCACAACTTCAGATTTCCCGTGGCTGACAGAACGTCACGTTTAACCCCGCGTTAAACGGGAACAGACTGCGATCCCACCAGGCATGGCCTTGGGCGAGGGGCCAACACCGCTATCCCTGCCCGTGGCGGATGCCGGCCCCGGGGGAACAACGCTGTGAGGGCAGAGCTCACTGCTCTGCCGCCCTGCCGCCTGCCCGGCTCTCAGCGCGCTCACCAGTCTCCGGTCCAGCTCGGTTTGGCCCTTGCCGGCGCCCGTAGGGCCCCTAGCGTACTCGGCGTAGCGCAACGCTTCAGAGGAAGCCCCGGCTCCATCCATGATGGCGGGCGTGACGGCAGCGCTACGGGCCGTACAGAGGGACAAAGCAGCTGAGGAGGCGAAAGGCAAAGCGCCGCCCCCCCGCGCCGCTCAGCTCTGACCCCGCCTCGCGAAGGCGGAGAGTGGGCGGGCGGTACCACAGCGTTTTGTGGGGGGAGGGGGAAACGGTCACCGACGTGACTCGGCCTTCTGGGCTTTGTCGTCGCCTCCCGGGGTTACTGTGAGGATTACTCGCCTCCGACTGTGGTGACTCCCTCCTCATTGAGGGCAGGCGGTTAGATGGACGGGGGATAGTGAGGAGGGCTGGGGATGTGTGTCCTTTTGTCCTCACGGCTTGTATTTTTTGCACCTTACTTGATGTCCGTGTATAGAATCGTAGAACCATAGAATGGCTTGGGTTGGAAGGGACCCCAAGGAGCATCAAGTCCTAACATTCTCGCCACAGCCAGAGCCATCAACCTCCATATCTAATACTAGAACATGTTGCCCATGCCCCCGCCCAACCTGTCCTTGAACACCTCCAGGGACAGGCATCCACAACCTCTCTGGACAGCCTGTTCCAGCACCTCACCACTCTCGTATAAAGAACTTTCCTCTTGCACCCAATCTAAACCTTCCCTGTTGAAGTTTAAAACCATTCCCCCTTGTCCTATCACTATCTACCAGAGTAAAAATTTTATTCTCCTCCTCTTTATGATCCCCTTTTAAATACTGGAAGGCTGCAATGAGGTCTCACAACCTTCTCTAGGCTGAACAAGCCCAACTCCCTGAGCCCTTGTAGAATTCATAGGTAGGTGCTCCAGCCCTCTGATCATCTTTGTGACCTTCCTCTGGGCAGTATCCAACAGCTCCACACCTTTCCTGTACCGGAGGCCTCAGCATGTGACAATGCATTATGATTTCCTGAAAATGCTGCCTGTTGGGATCAAGGTTCATCCTACTGAAGATTTCCAAGTGTTACCTCAAATGCAGTCGTTGGCAGTCGCCATTAGTCCTATATCACTAATTGCAAAATGTTCCATCTCTTCTCAGTAATACAGCATAACTGCTCTTCCTTTGCCCTTCATCTAAGAGGTTTGCCATATGTCTTAACTGGTGGCACTGGAGTTGAATTGTCTGGGGACACTGGGACACAACAAAAAGAATTACTCTCTTTATCTCCTGTTTCAGAGAGTGATTTTTTCTTCCAAGACATCATTCTGAGCACGTATCACAGTTCTGTACATACGATTGATACTTACCAATCTTCTGTAACATTGAAAGGCAACTGCTTTAATTCAACTTTAAGTATCTTCATAAAGTACAGCTATTAGCTCAAAGATGAGTTGACCATATATAGCATTTAATTAATCTTTGGCAGATGTCTAAATTTTACTTGATACAGCACAAAAGCCATTGGAAGTTGTACGATGATCCATCTGGCAAGAAATAAATACCTTCTTACTTCTTCATCCAACATGCAACATTACTATACATGATTAATATTTTATATTTGCAGTGGAATTGAATTTCTTGTAATCTTGAAACCTATTTTCAAGTCCATGAAAATATCCCCAACTCATCATTTTTTGTTCATTCATTTGCATAGAAGTAATGCAGAATAGCATGTCACTTACTACTTTTCAATAGCACGCTCAGAAACTGAAAATACTTTTTTTTTCTCCTTTATTCTCCTTTCTTGCATAGTATAGCAACTTGCTCAGAAAATCTGTGTCTCTCCTAATGAGTTAATGTTCTTTGTCGAAAGATAGTCATCTCTAAAAGAATAAACTTTGTGTTTATTTTGGGGACAAAGCTGAAATGGTAGGAAATAAAAAGAAGCCAAATAAATAAGAGTAGGAGAAAGTAAGAAGCAAATCTCTAAAGTGAAAGATTGTAGAAAATCTTTCCTTTTTTTTTGGTTTCAGTTTCTGCAGAAGTTTTTTTCTTTTTGTATCAAAAAAGTATTCAGACATAAAAGTAGCCCCCTTGAATCCACTGGTTCAGTGATAGTTATGATAGTTATTCATTTTTACTACTGTGTGTGATTAGCTGGGTAAAGGTAAGAAATAGGTGTGGGTGGCTCTGAAAAAGCCTCGCTGCTTCGAAAAGTTCAGTGAACAAGCAACAGCAATGGAAAACAAAACAAAACAAAACAAACACAGCATCAACAATAATGAATTTAAACACTGCTTTGTAGTTTTGAAACTCCTCCCTTCCCCCCCGCCCCTCCCCCCCCGCCCCTCCCCCCCCCTCAAAAAAAAGCCAAATTAGTTTATAAGGGTTCTCATATGCAGGTATACAACTGTAATCTACAAGCGCTAAGTGGTACCATGTTTATTCCCTCTCTCAGATATTATGCATATTGTTAGGATTCCTCCCTCTGAGCCTTCTCAAGGCTAAAAATTCTCAGCTCTGTGAAGCGAGGCCCCTAAACCAGATGTTCCAGTTTCTTCATTATCTTTGTGGCCTTTTTCTGGATTCACTCCAATATGTTCATATTTCTTTTGTACTAGGGAGTCCAGCACTGAACTAACGCCCACCTCAGAGATGTGATCTCATTAGGGATGAACAGACAGGAAGATTCACCTCCCTTGGCAACACTGGCCCTCATGCATCCTAGCAGGCTGTCATCCTACTTTGCTGCAAGGGTGCATTGCTGGCTTATGTTCAACTTGTCTTCCAGGAATTATTTGCTTGGCCACCCTCCCTGGGTTGGGATGAAGTTTACTGACCTGCATTTCCTCAGATCCCTCTCTTTGAAACCTGGGCATTAGTTTTATTTTTCTTCCATCTGCTGCTCTTGCCTGATTTCTGAATGTTGGGCTGGATTGTTCTTAAGCTTTAGAAAGTGATCCTTGAGAATCAAACAGCTCTACTAGACTCTTCAGTTCTGTATCTCAAGGGATCCTGCAAGGCAGATCTCTAAGATTCCTATAAACAGACTGAAGCCTGCTTTCTTTAAGTCCATGATTGTGACCCTGCTAATTGCACTGACATCTCCATGCAACCATCTCCACTGCAACCTTTGTACCCCTTGATACAAGAAAGACAGGGAGCTGTTGGAGAGGGTCCAGAGGAGGTCCACAAAGATGATCAGGGGACTGGAGCACCTCCCCCACAAAGGCTGAGGGAGCTGGGCTTGTTCAGCCTGAAGAAAAGAAGGCTGTGGGATGACCTCATTGCAGCCTTTCAGTACCTAAAGGGAGCCTACAAACAGGAGGGGAATCAACTCTTTGAAAGGGCAGATAATGGCAGGACAAGGGGAAATGGTTTTAAGTTGAAGCAGGGAAGATTTAGATTGGATGTCAGGGGGAAGTTGTTCACTGTGAGAGTGGTGAGGTGCTGGCACAGGCTGCCCAGAGAAGTTGTGGATGCCCCGTCCCTGGAGGTGTTCAAGGCCAGGTTGGATGGGGCCCTGGGCAGCCTGGTGTAAGATAAATGTGGAGGTTGGTGGTTCTGGCTGTGGTGGGGGGTTGGAGCTTGATGATCCTTGGTGTCCCTTCCAATCCAAGCCATTCTGTGATTCTATGATTCTATGACAAAATTTTCTCCATTTGTAAGCATCAGGTCCAGCAGAGCATCTCCCCTTTTCAACTCCTTGATCACCTCTGCAAGGACAGCATCATCAATACACCCCAGTAACATCACTCATCATTGAAATGGTAGCAGAATTTGGCCTTTAAAGACTCTGGGCCACTCTGTAGCCTATCTAAACATCTCTAGCAAATCTAGATGGAAAACATTTATCTGAATGTCTTCCTCATATCACCAGCTATGCTAGTATTATCACTTTCTGAATAGAGACTCAAGAAGAATATAGATTAAGCAGAGACAACCAGCTAATCAACACAAGGAAAACAAATCTTTTGCTGGGAGTGAAAGAAGTCATTTCCTCCTGAAGCAAAGAGGGGAGAAATGAAAGCTGCTGAGTCTTTGATGATGGTTTTCTAACCTAAGCTCCTCACAGCACAGCACAGCTATGTGCTATGCTATGCATAGGGTGATACTGGTAGAGGCAAATTGTTGGTATTTTAATGTAAACCTAAACACCAATATATTCCAGCTTTTTTTTCTTTTTTGCTATGAATGTGTAGCAATATTGTCCATATATGTATACCATTTAAGTTAGTTGCTTATTTCTCCTGTAAATGACTTTCCTAAACAGTCTGCATTACAGTACTCCATTGCAGTCAGGATCAATGTTGACAAGAGTCTCTGGCAGGAATTAAGAAGAATCAAGAAACCAGATCAAAGTTTGCAAAATTGATACCAAGCATTTTGCTTCTATTCTTTACTACTGAGAATTTCCAAAGTACCTGCAAGTGTAGCAGCTGACCAGTGACATTAGAATGGCAAGGACTGAAGTTT